CTTCCTATGTGTCCAAACCTTTTACTTTATTCCCCTCTATTAACTGTACCCTCCTGCAACACTGTCCTCCTTGTGGTTCCTCATGCAGGATACTATATGTCTTGTTTGTACAGTTGTTTGCATGGTATCTCCCCAATTTGAAGGTGAGCTCCTTGATGTCAGGGGCAATGTTTCTGCCTTTCTTTGGATCCCATCATTTAATACACTGCACGGCACATAGTAGGTGCTTAATAAACCCTTATTGTCCAACTGACAAAGTTTGTTGACTGACAGACTACAGGGTTATTTCACAAAATCAACCAGTTACAGAATTTCAGAGTTGAAATGTATCTCAGCAGCCATCTCATCCAAGTTACCCACAAAAGGAATCCTCATTATCATACATGTAACAGTCATCTAGCTTGTGCTTAAAGTGGGAAACCTGACCACCTCTAAAGTGAGGCCATTCTACTTGTGGATGGATCTAATTGTCAGCAAACTTTTGCCTTACATCAAGCCTACATTTGCCTTTTTTGTTAAATTCACCATATGCTCCTGTTCTTACTTCTGGGGCAAAGACACAAGTCTAGCCCTTCTTCCATATGACAGCCTATCAAATACTTAAACATAGCTATCATGTTCTCTCTGAGTCTTTTTTCTTTCTCTTAGGTAAACACCCCTGATTCTTTCAGCTGATACTCATAGGATACCGACTGAAGACTCTTCATCATTCTAGTTGCCCTTCAATGGACACTCTCCAGCCCATCATTGTTTTTCTTAAGATAATCCAGAACTGAATTCCATACTCCAGATGTGATCTGACAAAGGTAGATAAAAGAGAATGATTTCTTTATTCCAGGAAGCTCTGCCTCTCTTAATGCAACCAATGATTATGTTAGCTTCGCTTTCCCACTCTCTTTTTTTGTTGCTATATCATATTGTTTACTCTTATGGAGCTTTGAGTCCACCAAGACTACTAAATATTTTTCAGGCAAACTATTTTCTGAAGTATACTTGGAAAGTTGATTTTGTGTACCTAATATTAAAGTTTTACATTTATTCCTATAAATTTCATATTACTAGAAATAGCCCAATGCCCTATCCCAGGGCTAGGGAAAGTTTTCATGTTGGAAGGCTGCATTAATTTAGACATAATCAAATAAGGTCACATTCAAGACAAAGTTAACTAATCTTTTAATGACTTTGTTATGTCAATCCCCATAAACTTTCACCAACCAGCCTCCTGTGGCAGTGGTTCCAGTCAGGTGGGGGAAGTTAGAACTAAATCATAAGCATAGCATAGCCGTCATCAGTTATGACTTACTAATGTTGTAATTGTGCTGGTCAATCTAGGAGGATTATTTTGTTGAAACGTATTTTATTCTTTGGTATTTTAAATACATTCATTTTAGAAATAAAATAAAATATAAAAGATGAACAAAAATGTATTCATAAAAGAAGGATTTGTTCTGTAAATTTTGGATTCAGTCAAACTCAAGGACCTATAAGGCCACATGTGGACTTATGGCTGCAGGTTTCCCACCTCTTCTCTATCCTGTCAAGAACTTTTTCAACCCTGACTCTGTCAGGTTCCCTATAAGCTTGGTGTTTTCTGAAAAGTTGAAGTGCATTCTATTTATGCCTTTATCCAAATTGATGGTGAAATGATACACAGATCCTTTGAATGTTTCACTTGAAATTCCTTGCCATGTTGACGCTGAGCCATTAACAACTACACTGAGTATAGCCATATAACCACTTTTTAATTCATTTAACTGTATTCTCATGACAAGAGTCTCCCAGTGGAGAACTCCAGGGATTTATACTAAGCCCTAAGCTACTTAACATTTTTTTAATGATTTAGATGAAGGCATAGATAACATATTTATCAAATTTGCAGATGACATTAAGGTGGAAAGATCACTTACACAATGAATGACTGAGTGAATCCTGACAGCCTAGAACATTGGATTGAATCTATTCAGATGAAATTCATTAGGGATACATGCAAAGTCTTGCACTTGGAAAGAAGAAAAAAAATCTACTTCCCAAATATAATGTGGGAGACAATGGAGAGACATGGAGAGACAATAGTTGTCAGGAAAAAGAGATTGAAGGAATAAGAATAGGTAATGAGGAGAGACAATAGTTGTTCTGAAAAAGATCTGAGGGAGGTAGGGGTGTGTGTGTGTGTGTGTGTGTGTGTGTGTGTGTGTGTGTGTGTGTG